CTACAAGCACAAACTTACAATCAATGATTCAATATGATCAATTTATTCTCAGTGGAGGTCTAATTGACAGATCAAATTCATATTTCCCACAAGTTTGGCAAGGAATAAAAACAGAAAAACCGGCCAACCATACGTCTCGATAACTTATATCCCCTTGAAAAGAGACTAATCTTGAGATCTGATTCTACCATTTAGCTATTAACTTGACAAGGAATTCTCAAGAATCTGGATTTACATTCACCAATAAAGAAAAAAAGATTTTCCAGTAGCACATACTACATAGTACACACTCCATTCAAAAAACTAGCAGCGCCATTTTAGAAACCAACTCAAATTAAAACCCACAATTGTATACCAAGTGGAATGCCAAATTGAATTACAATAGAAACAGAATAGGTGCAACAGGTTGCCAATGATATCTTTAAACTATATATGATACGACAAATAAAGACATACATTTCTCATTGGAATGTGATAGTGAAAAAGTAATAATAAAATTGTTAGACAATAAAATGATTTATAATTTATTATATAAGAAACAAGAAAACTTTTTATTGAGAAACAAATAAAGGCCAATAACACAGGGACAAGTAACCACAGGCATCAAGAAACTAAATAAAATTTCTGATGAAAAATAGAAAGAATGAATGAACAAAATTTACAAATTTTATGGTGAAAATTAAGTATCCAAGTGTCAATGTGTTGCATTATGTTTTAAGAGCCAAAATGTTAAAAAGAGTGAGTTAAGGATAAATAATGCTGGTACAGATGGTATTCAATATATTTACATGCCACACATACACAGAAATGCGCGCCAATAGAAAATAAAAGTGAAATGAAACAAATAAAGTAACTGCAGATGTCATGAAGTTCTAAACCAACTGAAAATCTAACTAGCTAGGCAAAGGGACCTGGAAAGGAAATTTACTAAAAGTAGATATGCAAGTGACAGACACATATACATCTATATCTTATTCTTATATAAACCATATAGTAAATATAAAATATAATAAAAAGTTCATAATACGTTACTCTGCAATTTGGAGAAGATAAATCTGAACCACTCCTCTCAGGGTGCGAAATAATGTATTCATGGTCACAAATGATACAGTCGACCCAGTTGAATAACATAGATTTCAGAAGCTAAATAGTTAAGGATTATAAATAACAGGCAACTAACTCCCCTGGGGTCCCACAATGAATGAAACCAGTACTAGAACTATAATTATTGGACCTGCTGTCTGGGCTGCCTTTTCTCGAAAACACCCCCACCCACCCATCCACCCACACGCTCACAGAGGTTAGTAGATAGAACTTAGAAGCAGTGATGACATGATGTGCAATTTTTTCAGGACACCTTTCAGTTAACATAAAAGAGGCAATTAGGCAAAAGAATAAAGTAGCAATTCAGGGAAGCACTTTTCACACTCACCTTAGGAGTTCGGACCATGATAATGAGCTTTTAGAGAAACTAACCTTTAAGTATGGACACCCGAGTCTTTGCGTTTGAGACAGGAAATCTATGACCAAGCCAATGGAATTCAGTCATTGATGCAGCCTGCTGTGATCGAGCCTCAGCCATAACAGCCTGCCATTGAAGTGAAACCAAGACATAAGACTCATTGAGAGCCATCTCATTCTCCGGAAAGATATATAGTGCCAAGGTACCTAAAGTTACTGATTGACAAAGTACTATCATACTGCAATTGTATTACAAACTGGCCATGATTGTGATAAGATAGATGCACCTCCAGTTTAGCTTTGAAAAGATCCAGGGCAGGCCCTTCCATTTCTCCGATATGGACCAGTTCAGAAGTCTGTAAATTTGACTCCCCAATTTTATGCAGACAATATCTTATACTAGGCTCAAGTTCCTCTACCCGCTCTCTGCACAAAACTTGGTTCTCTAGGTCTCCATATTTCCCCAGTTCTTCATAAACAGCCCTGTCAAAAGAATAAAGTCAAACAGCTAGACACAGATAGGCAAAAGAGTAAGGATAGCCTTCGAAAATAACCTATAACTCAAAGGGCAGCACAGTTATAAAAACTAAAAGGAAACAATTTCATGAAGTACGCATTTCATTCCATTCTTGATAAGAATAAATGAGATTGTACCTAGCACTTTTAAAACACTTCAAGGCAACATCCCAGTTCTGGTCTTGTTCAAATAGCAAACTCCCTTTCATATAGGAGGCATAAGCCTGTAGATAAGACACAACTTTCATAAGATTCAAGCAACCAACATGATGAGCTGAAGTTGTAAGTAATCAGGAAATATAATCAATCGTCAACTTAACTTGATTGTAAACTAGAATGAAATGTTAAACAAGACCACAAAAAACATTAGCAATTGACAAGCCAATGTCTCCCAATTGTGGTAATATATCAAGCTTCGTACAAGTAGAATTTTTCAAAGCACTTACCATGAAAAATGACAAAGCTATCGCCAAAGTGTATGGTTGAAAAGTGTAATATCAAAAGTCAAAGGCATAACCAATAATAGCATAAGACATGTTGCAAATATATTTCACTACAGCATCACAGAGGTGACAAAATTGATTTGGAAAGTTAAGTAGCTTATTATAACATCTGATCTAAACTTACTTAAATCATGTAACAGTCTTTTACCATAAGATTTCAAGCTGCTTAAATCACTGCATATCATTACTTAATACAATTTAAAATGCCTTATGAGAATGACGTCACTTTGCTCCTTGAATTCGACAGTTCCTGATGCGAAGTCGGAAGAGAAAAGCCGGCTTTCTGTTTTGTTTGTTTTGCATGACACAATACACTAGAACTTCTATGAGATCACAAATTAAAGAAATTACCAAACCCATGAATAGATTGGCAAGCTAACACAACCAAATAATCTCACGGCACTACACAAGCAAGAGAGGTAAAAGAATGAACTATACAACATTTTTTTCTGACTAAAGATAAAGCATAAAGGTAAGGTATAGCAGCCAATAAGAACAACTATTAATGATACCTCTGCTTCCAACGATGTTCTTGAATCACCCTTGATGGCACACAACTCTTGAAACATGGAAGCCCATTTAACTGCCTTCCTTAGCCTTCCGATAAGGTAGCCCCTCTGGCGTGCATTTGGACCATCTGGTAGTGTTTTCTTTTCCATAGCATGACTCCATGCTCTTTCAGCAGTATACAAAACCAAATGGAGAAACCTAACCAGGATCCATAGTTGTTTACCCATAAAATGCAAATTTCACATTTTAAAATAATTAAACATAACATTGTTGAAAGGTACTCCAGTCGAAGCCATTATCCTTCATTTCTTCTCACTAGTTTCATGCATTTCACAGACAAGAGAATACAAAGAATGAACAATGAAATCTTAAATTTTCCAAACATCAACGAAGAATTTACAAATTAATTTCACTCACAATTTAGTAGGCACTGTAGGCTACAATTTGTGAGACTGATGTTAATAAGTAGAGATATTAATGCTGCCATTAGATTTAAAAAACATATTAATGCTGCCATTAGATTTAAAAAACAATGTCCATATCAGATGGTAACAAAATCACACTGCACAAGTCAAATAGTTAATAATATCAACGAGACATCAAAATTAACAGTCGCCTGTGGGCCAAGAAGACAACAAGGTGGTAGACCACCTCGGGCCAAGCAAGAATCCACAAACTATGTCTAACATGTCATTCCATGATTCAGAATCAAACAAAGTCAATGTAAGGTGAATATTATCCCAATCCACTTTCTTTGAAAGATGAAGAGTTCAGATATCTTCAGCTAGCATATCAGTTTCATGTAGCGTGCAATGCACGATTCTGTATTGAACAAAAACAACAATGTTAGTTCCAGATTATGTTGGTCAACTTTCTTTGGGAGATGAAGAGTTTAGATATCCTTAACACACATTTACCACCACAATGGTCAGTTAATCTGAGAACGTCAACTAGCTATACAGGTAAGACATTATAATTTGCCCGCTGTCAATAAAACATGTACCATAAAAGAAAAATCAGAACTACTACGGCTAGTATGGAGTGGCAGCCTATCAAGTGCTGAAAACCAAGTACTAGAATTGCAAAAATGCTCTCGCGTCGTTAGCATGACTAAATGCATCAGGGGAAAACAATTTTGCATGCATTTAATTTTAGATGGGCAAAAGAATGAAATACACGACTAACCACTGATGAACTACGAGACAATAGCTGCACTTTAGAAAACAGAACATTTGTGAGAAAATTGAAGCACCCCTGAGATTGGAGTTCTCTACTTAAAATATGAATACAAAAAGAATTAAATGAGACATCCTTACAACAGGGTAAGGGCAGACAAGAAAAAACAGCACATAAAGACCACAAATATACTAATACAAACAAGAAACTGAATGGCAACAGCAGCTACCTGACTTCAGTCACTGTAGATGCAGTGACAGCTCTCTTTGTATACTTTCCTCGGCCATGCGTGAACTTCAACGATTTGTATAGTCTTCTCAGCCGTGCACTGCAATACCTCCTATAGACTCAATGTGGATAGATTCCGATATCAGAATCACATCGTCCATAAAAATCAAAATCTTAACAGCGTTCGAAAGCTGAATACAAGAGGCTCATAAAATACAACTTTTTAGCTTCTTTTAAAACTCATCCCTCACCCCTAAAAAAACCCACAAATACATTTTAAAAGAAATCTACACGCAACCCGCTGACAGCATAACATAGTTAATCAAGACGTGTACACAGGACCACGGAGCATTAAGAAGATCGAATTATACCGGTAACGAGTATAATCACCGAAGCGCAATCCATGCTGCATCTGAGCCGATTTCAGGAGCTGCAGCACTGCAAATACCACCGCGAAAATTAAGAAAATTCTTCGCTGCAAAACACGAAGAAGATTGTTACAGGTTAAGTACCATTGACAGAGAATTTGGGGTTATTGATCTGATCGGAAGCAGTGGAAATCTGTTCGTCGATTTCCATGGCCGCGACGTCTTTTCCCTTCGCCATCGGAAAATGGTGATGAATTTGAGATCCGAACAAGCGGCGGAGGCGGCGGGGATTGAACGATTAGAGATTCCAAGGGTAGGGGTGAAGAGAAATTGGTCACGGAATATTCCGGCGGGTGCTAGATTGCGCCGGTGCCCTCATTGCGGTAAGTTAAGCAGTTAGGTTCGGGTCGTAACGCGGATTGGTGGATTGGTATGGGGCTCTTCATTTAAATGACTTGGTCAAAGTATTTTTTGTTTAAATTGGGATTGCTCATTTGGTTATCATAATCGAACTGAAATTTACGGTTCGGTTCCATTTTTAATCAAAAATTTAGTGGTTGGTTCGATTCGATTTTCAGTTAATCGCAATAAATAATTATTTATCTTATAAATTTTGAATTTTTGACTAAGTAGAAAATTTGATGGTTTATTTATCCCAACCAAAAAAAAAATTATCACCTTCTTTAATCTTCTCAATAAATTCTAAATTCTCCTCAAAAAAAAATTTCGGACCCAAAACGTGACTTAGACTATGACGAAGCTAATTTTGAGTGCAAATTAATACTTAAGCATTTTTAGGGGTCAATGAAGCTTGAAAATCATCAAGCATTGAAGTAAATTAATGCTTTTATAACTTATATGTATAAATAAAAAACATGTATATATATGTATATAAATCAATTTTCGGTTCGGTTCGGTTATAATAGAAATCCACTTGCATGAATTTAATATCATGTACTCGTTATCTTTTTTTTTTAATAATTAACTGAAACGAAGAATCTACTCCTTATCAACTGCTCTGTTATTTTATCCGATGCACTTTCTTAGGTTTACTATGTGTATGTCTATATCTATACTATATATCTATATAAAAAATCTTTGGCACTTACTTGAAATAGTAATTGAATTTCCACCTAAAAATTTAAAATTACTAATCTTGATAACTTTTTTCAGATTTTTTGGAAAACCCCATCTTTGCATCATTAATTTCGAAATTCAAAATACTCTTGATGTAAATGAAGAAGTTTTTGGAATGAAACGCGATTCGTTTTCATCTAAAAACATAAATTACATATAATAGAAAATTAATAGAGATTGTCATTCACTTTTCTTAATCCACTTAAACTAAGTAGTTTTTATCCATGGAAAGGGTATTGACATGGCACAAAACAGATTGATTTAGTATCATACTTTTAGAATGACTAGTATTGTACCCGTGTGATGCACGGAGAATATGGTTCTATGATAATTATTTTAGTAAGTTATTAATTAATTAAAAGTTAATTTTTTCTTGTAAATCAATTTGCAAAAAATGAAATTTATTTCAATATTATTAAAAATATCATTATAAACTTTTAATTATCCAAACCGAACCAAAAACCGAAAATTTAAGAAGATGTTAACCAAAAACCGAACCAAATAATTGGTTTCGTTCGGTTCGGCTCGGTTAACCGAACTTTGTGCACCCCTAGTTTAAATGACCCCACATTTTATTTTTGGTTTTTTATAAAATATGACAAATAAAATGTCCAAAACATACTTGTTTTAAATAAAGAATGTACTTTTATTTTTGCTATAGTATAACGAATGTAGTTTCGTTATCTGAAATGATTTTTATACCGAAGTTAATTGTCTTAACATACCGGATAAGTTATCTATTCTATCCGACATATCAGCTAGAGAGCGTTTCTCTGAACTGAGAGTCTACTTGATTTCCTATAAACAAAGAGTTTTCCTTAACTTGCATAAGGATTTTCATTTCCTATCAAAGTTTTTCCTTTAGCTATATCAATAGTCCATTGTTCTTATAAAGGTGCTAACTCACGGAAGGTTTTTTCTTCTACTAAACCTATATCTGAAAAGATATCTTCTAGTTCAATATAAGATTTTTTTCTTATAATCTATACTATGGTGATTATTAGTCAAAGCATAGCTTATAATATATATAACACTGAAGAATTTATCTCCATGGTTCATTAAATTTTCTCTTTCAAAGTGGTGAAAAAAATATAAAGTTCTATCTAAATTCGCAGTTTGAATAGACATGTCAAATTTAGGATAAACTTACCATAAGCAAGATTCCTCTTGCTGCTCCTAAGATACAATCCTTTATGTTATTAATTCTATCATCAATTAATGTCATTTTATATGAGTATCAATCTCTTCTAGAAATTCAGCTTTAAACAAAACTTTTATTGCTCCTAGATGAATTGTTGAAAGTTTATTTCTTATAACAGATGGAATTTTCTTCAAATTTTTTCGTATTTCTGCTTTAGTAATTAAATGCAAGTATACGGTTCCTCTAAAATCTCTTATGTCTACGTGCAATTCTTGCGTGTTGACAAATAGAAAATTTCATTTGTTCTTTTTAAGAAATTTAACATTGGAATGTTAAAAACATCTTCTTTTTTTAGATTTAACTTTGATTTTTGAATCTTAGTTAAAACATCATGTTTTATTGTCAAACTGGCTTTAAATCCTTTTTCATTTTCATTAAATGAAATTTATGAAACATCACTATTAGAACATAGATCTTGTTCTATATTTTTGTTTTCATTATCCGTATTGGAATTCATATTCCAAACAGGTTTTCCAGTTGTCTCCACCTTAAGATGGGATCACGAATACTAGTATTCCCCATTCTGAAGTTTAATTCCGTATTGGAAAATGAACTCAGAAAATATGATCAAAGATCTATTATCCGACAAGATTTTTCTTTTATCCATGACCTTGGTACCAGGATTTTTATACGGGCTGATTCTCGTGCAGAATTTATATAAGTTATCTAAGTAACTCATTTTAAGCCATAGGAACTGAGCTTTGTTGTTGTGCTTTCTTTATAGACTTATTTAATGCAAGAATGAAAGAAACCATTGTATTGACATTTTCAATATAGGTCTCATAGTTGCTATTTTTATTTCTACAGATGCAGAACTATAAACTTGCATATAATTATTCAAGTTTTGTTCTTCTTCTCTTAAACTAGCTGTTAATCGAAGTATTTGCTTTCTTAATGCTTTGAGACAGTTTATATCTGAAAACACTACTCTCACCAGCAGCTGCCAAAAATCATCGTTTTCCATAGTAAGCAAGAGTTTTAATACTCAAACAAAATCTATTGACTAGGCAGCACCCAAAAGAGACGCTTGTTTTTCTGCTTTCTTAATTGATTCATGAGTAGAAACAATTAAGGCCATCATATTATTTAGTCTGAAATCATGAGTTATTATGGTATTCATTTTATTTTCAGGTGATACCCTGTGATACTCAAGTTCTAAGACTTCATATCTTCATTAATAAACTCTTAACAAGGTATGAAGATCTCTTAATTGTTTAAGCTGATATTTCAAAGTGTTTTTCTCCCTATAAATCATACTTATTGGCCAATACCAAAAGTCATAATTTCTTGAAGAATTTTTTTTTATTAAAAGATTTTTCCTTTTATCAGTTAAGATTTGTTCAGTTTTCGGTTTTAAAAACCTTTCTCAGTAATTTTGAAATTACTTTCTTGGCAAATTAAAAGTCATTTCTTAGAAACTTTAAACTGCTTCTCATGGAGCTATCTAGTACGTAACTACAACATTTAAGGAACTTTTTGTAAAATGTTATATAGTTTGGATAAATGTCACACCTCTGTGTTTGCTTTTAAGCCTATGAGTCTGAATGATTGACTCCAAGCCTGTGCCACATGTACTATTTTCTCCCTTAGTAATTCTTCCCTTTGATTAGCAAGTCGGCCTCTAGGATATGATCTTTAACAAGAGTTCAAACAAACTGGATATTTTTATTCAAACCCAAACATTTTTACAAGGGTTCTTGTAAGAACACTAGTTATTCATCCAAGCCTTTGATTATAATCTTGAGTTCCTAAGAAGGAACATTTCACTACTCACACATGGACATAGAAGAAAGAAAGAAAAACTTCAAGCTAGACTCTGGACTAATTTTCTGATGTCCCCTATTGAAAATGTAACTCCTCATTTTATAGACTAAGGAATGAGGATCGATACAAAATGTTTTTGTCATTCCTGACGTGGAATCGCATTTGCCACACACTTCGTCGATAAGCTTATGGCCTTATTGCATTTCCAAACCTACCCTATTACTCACTCAATTATTCTCCGTTTGAGCTGGCTGAAGTAGACGTTGTTGGGGAATCTTCATTTTTTTACTCATTTTTCAGAGTGGTAGGTTCCACCTTGGATGTTGAGAGGCAGTTTAGACAACTCTAAACACTTCATCGTGCTTCTCTTATCTTCTTGATCTTGTCACAGATTCTTGGATGATAATAATCTTGCAGAAGGTTTTTCTGGAATACAATTATCTTTTTCTCATCATCACTTGTCATTGGCTTTAGTGCCTTTGAATATATCAAATAATTTTTGTTTTGATAATTCACAAACACTTTATCATCCGTGTAGAATTCCATGACTTTTTCGACAAGGAATCATAACGATTTAGTCCAATTTGATCTAGATTGACCTCTTTGAACTGTTTATTTTATGGTTTAATGAATTTTTCACCATAACTAATCCCTATCATTATTAGATATGTGGTCGGGATAATTTTATCATTAATCCAGATGGGTACTGAACTAGTGATTTATAGGAATATGTCCTTTTTCTCCATGAACACATTTTTTCCTATACTCCTTGATTGATTTAAGAACGTTTTGAGGTAATTCTTGTAGTTCCTTCAAGGTCTGGCTGGGATATATGGTTTTTACCATCCCATATTCAAACGCTTCGATTACCATTTATGGATTTGTGTTTTTTATAAAATTAAAAAAATCTCAAGTCCTTCCCATTTGTCGTGAAGAATTTATTCGTAAAGATTTCCACTTCACCACTGCTTCGGGCTAGGTTAATCCAATATTCAAGACCTCCTTTTGGAAGTTGAATCGGAGTGACATGTTCTTCTTGTTGGGCTTCTTGTTTCTTGGGAAGTTTGGAGCCTTTTCTGCTTTCTAGGCTTCTTTAAGGCTGCAATAAATGTGTTGGGCTGAAGTCCATCTGTTGT